CTACACAGTCCCCTTGCTAGGTCTTCAGTCGTTTCCCCATGCTTCAAATTCAAAATTCCCCTCCTGTGTCCCATATGGATAAGATGGTGATGTTCCCAGAGTTGAGGACCTGGCGATCTTGTGACATACGTTCCCCAGCGCCAGTTCCTGGTCTTGCTTATTCCCAGCATTTTTAAACATACAATCGGATACACTGTAGACCTTGAGTCGATGTGCACAGTAGATGCATATGCTACAAAAGCAATAGAGAAAAGGTAAAGATGGGGTAAAGAAAAGAAGAAAAGACATAAAAAAAAGTAAAAAATTCTGTCTGTGTTAAAACTAGACTGTTTAAATGGTATTAATTTGGCGTATTGTTGCCGCATGTGGGGTGGTGGTGTTTATGGCGACGTGGTGTGATGTTATTTGATTAGCTATGTATACAGTGGGAAACTCTTGGTTGGGGCAGCTGCTGAGCATCATTGTCGTTGAAAAAAATATAATATATCCCCCCCCCCTGTTTTTTTGTGTTTCTGTTCTGTTTTCTGTTGTCTATTCTCCCTCCTTGTTGTTTGTAATAGGTTATAAACTTGTCAGTAGGGAGGGAGAAAGAATAGATTTGATAGTTATGTTTCAGGTTATGGTCCCAATGTATTTTTGGCAAAGCTTGCTGCTTTGATAAAGTGGCGTCACATCACTGCCTTGTGTGTAAGTGTACCGTTCACTTAGGCGTAGTTGTCTATGAGGTCTGTTTTTTAGTGGTAATGTGTGTAGAGCATGGCTTTGCTCGTGCAAAACCCAGGTAGCCTAAATCATTGTAACCATTATAACCACTAGGCAGCATAAAATCAACGAGTACTAACAATAACAATATGTTGTGCTAATTAAACTTTGCAGAGTGTCCCATGAACTATCTAAACCGTTCTGGAGGGTTCTGGAGATAAACTGGGACCTAAAACAGCACATGTAGAGTACACTGTGGGGCTACATGCCTAACGTTAAACTTGTGGTGGTGTTCCTAATGCAAAGCATATCATTTTTCACTATGTGAACTGCTCCAAAAAGTCCCTTTAAAAAAGCACTGGAACCCAGAGCAGAACGTGCATATTGCACTTTGGGGCTACATGCCCAACTGTAACCCCTTCCCGACCAATGACGTACCTGGTACATCCGTCAAAAAACGGTCTGTAATTACTGCAGATATACCTGGTACATCATTTACTAAATCGCCACTTACCTGATCACTGGCGATCCCCCACCGGCGGTCCCCCACTGGCGATCGTGATCCTGGGGTCTGCCTGGGAGCTAAGGCAGACCCTCACTGCCCGATCCGGCCCTCCCGGGCCATGTGATCGCAGGAATAGCCGGCTTGTGCAGTTCCTGCAGGGGGCCTGCCTGAACTCTCAGGCAGGGTTCCCTAGTCCCTGAAAAAAAGTTTAATAGAATTAAAAAAGTTAAATAAAAGTTTATAAAGTACATAAAAAATAGATCATAAACATAGGCGTGCGCACGGGGTGTGCCGGGTGTGCCTGGGCACACCCTAATCCCCGCAGCACGCCTATGTGTATTGAGACCGGCAGGGGAGTTCTCAGGATCTCCCCTGTCGGCTCATGCAGAGCCGGCGCTATCCGAGCTCCGGCTCTGCTCTCAGCCTCCCTCCCCACTGACCCACATGCAGGGAGGGAGGCAGGAGAGGACCCGGCGGAGCTATTGCCGGCAGCTCCGCCGGGTTCCTCTCGCGAGATATGAGCGTTGCCACGGCAATGCTCAAATCTCGCGAGAGTGAACTCTAGCCCCACAGGGGCTAGAGTTCACTCTCCACGGGACCACCAGGGAAAGCAGCAGCACTATCCCCCCTCCCTACAAAAGGTAAGAAGGGAGGGGGGGATAGCAAGTAATGTACCCCCACCTCCACCCCCACAATCACCCACACACACATACAGCACACACATACAGCACACATACATACAACACCCACACACACATACAGCACACACACATACAACACCCACAGACATGCACAGCACCCACACACATTCAGCATCCACAGACATACACAGCACCCACACACATTCAGCACCCACAGACATACACAGCACCCACAGACATACAGCACCCACAGACATACACAGCACCCACACACATACAGCACCCACACACATACACAGCACCCACACACATACAGCACCCATACACAGCACCCACAGACATACACAGCACCCACACACAGCACACACACATACAGCACCCACACACATTCAGCACCCACAGACATACAGCACCCACAGACATACAGCACCCACACACATACAGCACCCACACACATACAGCACCCACATACATTCAGCACCCACAGACACATACAGCACCCACAGACATACACAGCATACACAGCACCCACAGACATACAGCACCCACACAGACATACAGCACCCACACACATTCAGCACCCACACACACATACACAGCACCCACAGACATACAGCACCCACAGACATACACAGCACCCACACACACAGCACCCACACACACACACAGCACCCACACACATACATAATCCACACACATTCAGCACCCACAGACATACACAGCACCCACACACACCAGCACCCACAGACATACACAGCACCCACAGACATACACAGCACCCACACACATTCAGCACCCACAGACATACACAGCACCCACAGACATACAGCACCCACAGACATACACAGCACCCACACACATACAGCACCCACACACATACAGCACCCACACACATACACAGCACCCACACACACATACAGCACCCACACATACACAGCAACTCCAGACATACAGCACACACACATACAGCACCTACACACACATACAGCACACACAGACATACACAGCACACACACACATACATTCAGCACCCACAGACACATACAGCACCCACACACATACAGCACCCATACACAGCACCCACAGACATACACAGCACCCACCCACAGACATACACAGCACCCACATACATTCAGC